AAGCAGCAATGAATGTAATTTCTGTTAATTTTACATTGTTGTAAAACTGGAATGATTATAAAAAGTTGTCTCAGATTACTTTCCTATACCTCATATTATAGTTAAAATCTATATTCAAGCAGGGGTGTCCATGGGGGGGTGGGCAGGCAGGGAGATCAGGACTAGTAAAAAAACGGTCCCTTTTTACATGAATTGCATGTAAAAAAGGGCCACAAGTTCAATCACACAGTCACAGCTGTCTTCTTGTCTTTTTGGACATCCCCTCTCCAGGACGTGCCCCAATACTGAAACCAATTAACATAGATTTGTACTTTTTTTGTTGTTCAAAATAAACAGGTTCTAGAAGGACAAAATGCAGTCTGAGGCACATTGACAACAATTTTGGCAGTAATATAGCCTTCCGACACCAAATCTGGCTTGAAGGAATGATGGAACAGCAGGACTCAGCACGGATGGTGGTTGGATTTGGGGACAGTTAGGAGAATCAGTTCATAAAATGAGGGACAGGAATAGTTTGAAAAGAGAGAATCAATTGAATTAAAACGAGAGAGGGCTGGGAATTGCAAATGGTCCAGGGACAGCTTGTACCAAATGTTGAACATTTTACTCTCATTTAATTTCCTTCTTTGGTCATACAGTTATTATCAGGAAATACATATTCTTGTCAAGATTTGCTGTTAATCATCCATATATTAAATATTTAGGGATTATAACCTGAAAGGGTTTAATTGTACCTAAAAACTACATTCTAATTATAAAATTGATATAATAGAAATAGAAAGTGTAGAACATTTTGTAACCTTTCTTACCAGGAAGATTGGCTTCAGTAGGGATAGCATTGCCCAGGCTTTTATTCCTGTCTCAGAAAAATGATCCAGAATCTCTGTTGCCTTCTAGTATTCAAAAGTGGCAATAGATGGTTGACATTTGATATGATTGTAGGGAAAAAAAAGTATAGATTTTCTAAGACAATTAGGGATCAATCTGTATTTAATGATGAACTCTCTCCTAATTGGCAATACAAATACAATTAGTCCTGTGTTGTTTGTGGAGCTAGAAAATGGCTTAATTTTGTTTAGATCTTCATTCAAAAAAGGTAACGTCAGTTGCTAACTTGTTTTATAAAATCACCTTGCTTAGTTGGAGGATGTGGAACAAATATCTCACCCCTACACTTTTGGTTTATTTGTCATATTTTACTACAGTCTTTATTTCTGAACAAAGTTCAAATAATTCAAGTTGAAGGATGGAGTAAAAAAGATATAAATGAAGCTGGAGATTTATTCTATATTGGTAAATCTTTTGGAATGGACCCTTTGGGGTCCATTAGACTGTATTGTACTATCTTGGTTCCAGCTGAAATAAGTTTAAATGTTTGTGTAGATATTATCCAAGCAAAAGGAAATGAAAAGTTACCTAAATCAAAGAAAATGAAAATTTTGTATAGCCTCAAGTCTAGTCTATAATCAAGTCTATAATTTATAAGTCTAGTTTACATTTAAGTCTATAATCAAATCTATTATTCTTGGATCTCAAAAAGTTAGCAGTAGCAGGTATGTGTCAAATATATTTATACTGAGGGCTTGAAACTTATCTGGGAAACAGATCTGGGAATGTTTATTGATAATATTTACTAATGCACAATGGACTGCTGTTTGGTGTGGTTCCCTGGCCAAATCGCTATAAACCCAGGTTAAGGACAGCATTTTGAAATTAGTAGCTCAGTGTCAGTCCTCTCCCCTTAAACACAATAAAAAACAAAAATTTAAAAATAAAATTTAAAAGTCAATTCTAATCTTTCTAATAAATGTTTAAGGATTGTGGGAAAGTGACAGGTTTTTTGCAGGATAAAGAATGTTCAGTATTCTTATCGGCAGCAGCACGGATGGAGATGATGAACAATTGGAAATCAGCCAACTCCCCAGTACTCCAGTCTGCTGCTGCTGTATGTTAATAAAGAATTTGCCAAATAGGTTATCCATAGAAGAAATCAAGGGAAGCCTCTTTGTAGACATGTAATTTCTTTTATTACATTTAAATATAAACAAAACTTTTTGTACTGAACTCTTTCCCAACGAACAGTGTGGAAGGATAGATTCCGAAGACCGACATTGTTTGGAATGGATGCATGTTTGCAGATTATAAATATTGCGAACTATTTAATTACACATTTTTTTTCTTTTCCCATGTTGTTTGTATTCAAATGAAATATAAATAAAAATGGTAACTGACCAAGTTAGTTTAAAAAGAGGGTAATGAATTGATGATATAGTTTACTCTTTTATTGTTGTCCAATAATTAGTATTCTGGATATTATGTTCTATAAATGAACAGATATTTAATTTTTTAACTATGAGCACCTAAGGGAAAGCACATACTATTTGAATTATATAATTAAATATCTAAAAAGTAGGACCCAGGGATTTCTAGGGGAAGAGTTTTGTATGGAACCATTAACTGTCAGTACTGTTTTCCCCAGCACCTATTTATACCAAAAAGATGCCTCACCTCATTTTTTTCTGAGGACTTTTTTCATTGTATGTTAGCAAATTAAAAATACAAACTTGTGATTATTTGTATTTTTCATGTTTTAATGTACGATAGTTGAGTGTCTATTGGGGAGACGTCAGCCTTTCAGCAGCAGGACAATTCTGTTCTCAGTCGGTTTCCATGTAGCTGGGCCTATTAAGTGGAGCAGAGAGAGGTTCCACGTTGGCCTACAATCATCAGCCCATATTAACTCAGCACCACTCCAACTGAAAACAAGCCCTTTTCTTATTTGGAACTGAAGGATTCCCTGATTAAGTACAGTATGGTCCAAAAATGCTTCTGCCATAAAAAATCTGTAAAATGTCACAAAACTGTTGGTTATTCTTGATCCAGAGAATCAAAAATTGTGGTATGCTCACTTAGCATTTTCCTCTACTTCCCAAGTTTCACGTTCCCATGCTAGGCTTGGCTTTTCAGAACAGTTTATGGGAGACTGATCTCCAATGACAACAGGATAGCGAAAAGACTTTTCCTTTTCACTTATTTTGGAGATTGGCTGTACTCAGACAGTGCAGCTGGATCCTTACATTTCATCCAACAAGAAATACAAATCAGACAAAAATGACACATCTGCAAAATTGCTGCCTCACCACTTGCCAACTCTACCTTCTGAGCAGTATTGGGCAAGATTGCCAGATTTCATCAGGCCAAGCGTTTGATTCTTGGAGGGTGGAAGTGGAACCTGGCCAATCAAGAGAAGAGCCTGCTAGGTGCCTGCTCTAGCTTTGGCTAGCCAAGCCTTCTGGCCAACTTGATGGGCCTCCAGAAACCTGATACATCTGAGTCCAGCTCAGCCAAATTTTGTCATGGCTGGATCCTGGTAAAGTTAAGGGCATGGTCAATAGAAATCTGGGCTAGGCCAGCCCTCAAGCTTGGTGCCTTCTAATCATGACCTCAAAACTGTAAGCATTTGAACTGCTGTCAATAATGGGGTGTGGTGAATGTAAAGGACGAAGAACCATTAGACAGAGCAACCAATGGATAGTGGTTCTGGTAATGATAGTGATAACACTTTCCTTAGTTCAATGTCTTGTCTCTCTGCCCCTGCCAACTTCAGGTTGAAATTACATGATATGTCCATTACATCATGCAACGCTGTTTGTTTCTTTGTGTTAATCAAATGTAAACATGGGGTGAGTGATCCAGCTAGAGAGCTTTGTGGGTATAAAAAGGTAATCCTTTCCCCTTCAGTTCTGATCCCTTCCCAACAATTAACAATAACATTCCACTGGCACTGGTGGAAGTTTAATTATAGTTGTTATTAGTTCAATTTGTTTGTGTCTCTCTGTGTGAGTTTTTAAATGAGGAGGATTAAATTCCCCCTTCCACACATGGTACAGTATTCTGTGAATTCAAATCTAAGTTATCTGTACACTTATTTTTGAATATTTTATGTAGCATGTTAAATTATTGGGTAGCAAGTACCTGACTGCTGGTTTAGACTGAGCAAAAGTGGTACCAGCAGAACAAGGAGGCAGATTTGAACAGGAAAGAAAAAAAGGTTGATTGGGACTTAGTGTCTTCCTCTCTCCAGTTCAAAGTGATCAAAACATGTCCCTGCAGCTTGGTCTGTAAAAATTGAACTATTCTTGTACTGAACAGCTGAAACAGAGATTTGTGAAACTTCACAAATCCAAATCATAGAATGGTAGCCTTATTCTTTGTAGCTAAAATCTGTACTAGGATGGGTGACCAAATGACACAAGAAACATACAACCTTTCTTGGGGTGCAAGGGGTGAGTGTCCCATTCAGACACTCCACCAGACTTTCCTCAAGGCTCAGACCCAGCTGGGGAAAGACTTCCCTTCCCATTGGTGCTGATAAACATTCTTCATTATTAATATGCATGTGGGAAATGAATCTGTTCCATGATGCTCAATCAGTTGGAAAGACAAGGAGGACTGATTCAGGTTTCCCACTTGGGCACTAATATTTCACCTGCTGCTGCAGGGAAGGGACTCCCGACATATCGCCATACAGTAAAATGTAATGATCAAAATATTCCAGTTTCTTCTTTTCTGAATTCTTTCACCATTCTGGAGCTTCTTAAATACTGCAAGAGGTATCTAGATCAGCCGGCTCATGGAAAAGGAAAAAGTTGGAATTGCTAGAAAAGCTTGGTCTGTATGCTTATTTTGTTTCATTTTTAACTAGGAAGAAAGGATATTGCAGACCAGTGCCTTGACTATAGCTCTGTTGGGCTGTCGTATTCCATGACGCATCTGGGTAAATGTGCATATACAGTGCCCTCTTGAGAAGCAATCTCTGCTTTCTGCCTGAGGGAATCATACTTTACTCCTGACAGCTGTCTTTCACAACACAACACAGCAGAAACTGATTATTTTAGAAATTCTACAGGACCCACTTACAACTAGAATGCTTTCAGTTCGTTTTATTTGTTTAATTAAAAAAAAGAAAACTCACAAAGCTTGCATGTATATCTTATATATATAAATATATACAGTATATATAAATCAAATGATTCAGGACAATACTGTTGAGTGCGGCATGAAACAAAACAAGTAGCAAAGAAAGTATGTGGAGACTTAGTCCAATACGATAGGCTTAAGCACGCCTGTCTCTGTATTGGATTAAGGCCTCTAATTTTTGCAATGAAAACTAGCTTCCATTTATAGTACCTGCACATCTGGATTCTGCTCCTTGGGTTTTCCAAAATTTGTAAGTTTGTACAAGCTTTTCAAATTCACAGAGTAATATCTCAATCACATTCCTATACATTCTCACCAGGATGAACTGTTCTATGTGACTTGAAAACTTGTACATTCCTACACTGGCAGAAATTGGTTCAAAATAACATATTTTCATATTTAGAGTTTCTTTGGAAACCAGCATAACAATATCAAAGAGGTTGTGGCAGAATAAACAGTGAGACACACTTATCTATAATCAAAATTGGCTTCAAACAGCTAACAGAAGGAGAGGTTCTAGTCAATAGACATAAAAGTTTGGATGCTAAGGCATCAGGCATATGCTGGTGGTCACAACATCAGGTGGGATCCCTTGTGCTTTGAATGGATCAGAGCATCAATGACCATGAAGATCTTTGGCATAACATTTCAGAGTATTTTTTAAGAAGGCTTCAAATAAAAGAGATGAGGGGCAAACACCGAAGAAAAGGGTCCAATGGGAGAAACAGAAGAGTTCAAGTGCAGGATCAGTGAACTTTGGATTTGCAGTCATTCCTAGGATGAATTCAAGCCTTGTGTCCTTCACTGAAGAAGCTCCCACTATGATGAGCTAAAAGAGATTTCTTGGCACTTTGGCAATATTTTGTGGGGGAATAGCAGAGCCACATTGGAAGCTGTTTCCCATTCATTTGGATCCTGCATTTATTCCCAATGCAAAACTTCAGCTTGGGTTGGTGTGCTTTCTAGGTCTGAACAAATGGCAAAGCAGGACAGTTGCCCCAGGCAGGGCTGCTCTTTCTAGATCTTGCAGGTTGTTGCCCTCTAATTCACGGTTGGCACCTGGTTCCTCTGTAAACTATATTCCTTTGCCTTCAGTCTCAGATTTGCAATGCTGTTAGCCATATTCATGCCCTGAGCTGGGCTGGCATTGGTACAGGAAGCAGAATAAGAAGCCATGGCAGTGCTGGGAGGCAGAGAAAGAAGAGGGGAGGGAGGAAAACAACAGCAACAACACCAGATCATCTTTTAATTCTACAATTCACATGCATGCGGGTGACCTGCATGAGGTATGTCAATTATCCAGAAAAACAACTGAGTAGCCTGTTCAAGTCTTTCACTGCAGTTTGATTTTCAGCAGCTGAAACTTTTCATGGCATCTGCAGATCAAGCTACTAATAAAAGTGGAAGGCCAGAAGCTTGGAGACCAACATTTACAGCCATATTATGTAATTGTAATCTGCCAATCTTTATTTCCAAGGAGCACTTCTGATCTTGGAGTGGTGTGCCTGGGGCCACAGCTCAAAAAGTGGGTGGGGCAAGAAGAAAACCAAACTGATTTAAATTGAATGTAATTGTTTAAAAAAGTTATAATTCCCTGCGTACATAATAATTGTCTCCTGTTGCATTAAAACAATCACAATTTAGCAACAACATTTATAATGGAGCAAAATATCTTCTCATACAGGTTTATGGCACTTTCTCTGCTCTCTCTGTAGTTGCAAAATGCAAAGAAGTTTCAAGTCTGAGAATCTAAAGACTGTCCATCCTATACAGTTCTGCTTAAAAAAAAAAAAGACCCTTGGAATGCAAAGGTCCTTTTGTATATCAGTAGAAGTAGAGCCAGCACTCCATTCTAGTGCTTTTATTAATTGTTCAGTATGCAATGTCCACATGCAGAGCTTGACAAGCAAGCTGGAGGTATTAAATGACTCTGTTAAACATGTACCTGCAGAGACCTGAAGAGATCTGGAAGTTTTATCTCTGACTGTTCCTTCTCATGGACAAGACACTTTAGCTCAATAGTTCTAACTACAGGATTCTGGGAAGGCATCAAGCAACATTTGTAAGGGTGGATCCAGGCAATGTTTGTGAAAGGGAAGGCATTTGAGATTTGGGTGGCAGGGTGGAGGTGAGAGACGTTGCAGCTCTTGGCAATGATACTTCCACTGTCCTGTCACTTTTCACAGAGGAAAGGGGTCACCCTAAGAAGAAAACGTGTATATCAGCTGGGTAAAAAAGAGGTTCTCTAGAAAATGAACAGAGCCCTCTGACCTATAATACAGTTCTTCTGTTCACTTATCAAATTAAGCCATGATGTGGTTTGTTTGATTTTTTTTTAACTGTTTTTTAACATGATGTATAAAGCCAGGCATCCAGGCTATGGCTTAACATTATGTGTGAACCAGGCACTAGTAGCTGTGTTCAGGCCTTATCATTGTGTTTTCAGGGCAAAGCCTGATGAACAGCCCTCTGCTCTCCAATTTGTGCTGGTGACTAACGGCTGATTTTCATACTATCCAGTTGCCCCAATGTGAATACAGACCACTAACCATTTCTCAAGGTTAGGATGCACATCATCCTCTACATGCCTCCCATAAGAAAGGCAACTGTCCATCAGAAAGACAATTGTCACCTGTCATTTCCTGCTGTATGTCAAAAGTAGTTTTCTGACTCGCAATGGCTCATAGCAAGTATTTGCCACACTATTCAATTTAACATCATCTGGAGTATCTGCACTGAGGGCAGTGGGAAAAAAAAGTCAAGATGATGCATGCAACTTTGTGAACAAAATTCCACTCCTTTTAAAATGTGTGTGATTTTCCCTGATTGATAAGCATTCCCTCCATTTCTTCATCCATGGCACTAATAACAATTTTGAAGAGTACAGGACACAGGATTGAACCCTGAGGCACCTGTTTGATGCCTTCCTCCAGTCTGATGCAAAACTACTGATGAACACTCTTTGAGTTCTGTTTTCAGGCCAGTTATATATCCATTTAATTATCATGCTATCCAGCTCACACTTAAGGAGCATATTAATCAAAATAGCATGGAGTACCTTGCTAAAATCAAGATATAATACATTGACAATATTTTCTCAACCTATTGGCTTGTCAATTGAAAAATAATAGACTGTGCAGGAGCACAAGTCACCCCAGGTTTGTGTCATCTGCAAATTTGATGAGCACCCCTTCAATCCCCTCATCTAGGTCATTTATGAAGATGTTGAAGAGCACTGGGCCCAAGACAGAACCTTGGAGTACCCCACTGCATACTTCCCTCCATGTAGATGAAGTTCCATTAAGGACCACACACTGAGTGAGGTTAGTCATCCAACTACAAATCCATCTGGAGGTGGTACTGTCTATCCTACATTGTTTTATCTTGTCAAGAAGTAGGCTGGGGTCTACTTTATCAAATGCCTTACTAAAATCTAAGTATACTACATCCACAGCATGTAAACCTCCTCATGTAAACAACATTTTAGGAGGGATGAGGAGCTATTTTGCGAAGTGTGAGAGGAGGGAGAAATAAATAGCCAAATGAGTTCATTAGGTATCTTGTACTGCAGGGATCATCCACCTCAACATTAGTGTGGTGGTGGCAAATCAAATGGCATTCATGAGTGAGGATCTCAACTACCACTTCTCAGCTAAGCTTTGGACTGTGAAGACATCCTGAGACTGCAGTTCTGGAGCAGGGTACAGTACTGAGATTCCAGCTTCTGGATTGCTCTTAGGAAACAGATTCTATTCCTTCCTTGGCTTGTTTAAGACCCAAGATATTTTCATACCAGCTATTTGCCAGCAATTTCTTCAGAGTTAGCAAGAAAGGACTTTGGAACAACAACAACCCCAAAAAAAAATAAAAAATGGGGGGGTGTCAATGCATACATAGGCCAGGAACCAGTGATGGTAGCTGTATCAACATGAAGTTAACAACAGTCTAAATGGAAAGGGGCTAAATAGGTATTCAGTAGCTCTCTGATAAATATATGTGAGGTATTCTTTCTGTTAAGGATGTCCCTAAATACTGTTCGTTAGAAACAAAGAAGCAATATTGGTTCAACTCTTGGTCACAAAACTCTCCTTTTATTACCCATCTCAGCCATTATCAAAAAGCAGACACAGGCAAAGGGTTGTTTGGGCTCTCTCTTCATCCTGCAGTTGAGCTGCACCAGCTTCCCAAATGCACATCTGCTGCTCCCCTTCTGAGAGAAGCCAGGTGTTGAGTCAGAGATGCAGAGGCACCAAGGCAGAGCTCTGCCAGACTTTGTGGTTTTTACACTTGGGAAAACATGTTCTAAAGCAGCTTTTTCTGCAGGTCAACTCACAGAGAAGTTAATGGGTAGCAGAGTCAAGCCAACACTGATAGCTATTCAATCATTGTTCAGTTCTAAATATGACTTCCTTCATAAATCTTAATGGCTCACCAGAATGTGATAGGCTTCCTAAGCAGTCCACTGCTGGAGATAGAATTCTGGCTTGCATGTGCTACTGTACTGGCTCATTAGGACATTGTTCATGCCTTCAGCTAGAAGTTGAAGACATCCCAATCCTTTTTGATTTAGGTCTCTCAAATTATAGAAGCTAAGCTCTTTGCCTTCATCAAATGATTAATGACTTGCTGCAGAAATGAAAAGAAGTAATTGTGCATCACAAGGATGGAAATGATTGTTTTAGATAGAAAGCTTGGGTATGCTTTGTTTTGTGCACCATGACTCTGATGCATGAGCCATTTTTGGTTTTTGGGAAAATGTTTCCAGCAGTGTTCAGAAGGCTATACCTTGCTTTCTGCACCCACTCTTTGTATGTGATGCTGGTGTGTTGTAGGCTTGTCTCTTTGTGAGCTCCCTGGAAATCTGTTTTGAGTGAGAGAGCTTAATTTTAATCAGGCATTGACCAGTGGTATCTGTAATGAACACTTCTGAGAACTGGTGCACCAGATTTGTTCCAGTGGTTCAATGCCCACTTCTTTGAAGAAAAGTGAACTAATCTCCTTTAGGTTCACCAAGTTCCTCAAATAAACCCACTCATTTCCAAGAGTCTGGTGCTGGAGATATTCCCAGTGGTTTAAACCCCATTACTGTTTGTTTGCCAGATCAATCAGTCTTTGGGTTCTGCCCTGCCTTTCTCAGGCTTACTGGCAATCAAAAAAAGATGACATACCAAGCAAAAACATGGTCCACATTTATTTTGTTTGTTTTACTCTGTTATACAGAGCTTTGCCAAGAGCATTTCCCATGAGTTTTGCACAACACTGTTTGCTTTTGTTTTTTCTTCTTCTTTTCAAGAAAAAAAAAATACTTTCAAAGGATGATCCTTGAGGGTGGTAGGCAAAAGAGCTGCCAATGGTATAAGAGAAGAAAACAACAGTGATTAGGCCTGGGAACAGTTCTTCCTTTGGGCACAGGAGCCAATTACTGAGGAAACATGACCTTTTCTCATAATTTGTCAGTAATTAAAAGGGCATCTTGCCAGGTATAAAAGAGCAGAGATGTAATGAATCAGTGTTGAGCCAAAATGGCAAAGATGCACCAAACCATTTTTCAGAGATTAATGAAAAAGTAAAGATTAAGGGTCTGTGGCTTTGAATTTACTCAGTTGGCTAGGATTGGGTAATGGTCAGCACAGAAAGCATTGCTGTAACGGGCCTGAGCAGTGCCAGCACAGCTCGGCCATGTTGGCTACATAGCACTGTGGTATCATCATGTCCAGGGTTTGATCCTTAATTGCCTGGAATGAATTGGGAAGGAACTGCACAGATGGAAAAAGGATGACACAGCAGTCTGTCCAATAGAAATGCTGGAGAAATGGCCACAGAGAGCCAAGCTGCACCCCCTACTTCTGAGGCTGGGAGCAACGTTTGGCTCAGGGTGGTTTTCACCTGACACCATTCTCCTCCCATCCCCAAGATGTAGGTCAGGCATGCCTTACAGATAGATAAAGTGAACAAAGTTGTATGTAGCAACAAAGGTACACATGTGTGTGTGAAGGGCTGAACTGCTTTTCAATCCCTGCCATTCAGCACTTTACAGACTGACCAGCCAACCAACCTCCAAAAGAGAGGATATTTATGGAAGTTTCAAGAAGAATCAGTAAAATGGGAAAGCCCTGGCGTGGGCTGGAAGCAGGCATATTGGAGCAGAGCCACGCATGGCTTCAAAGAGTGTCCCCGTGCCTAGTGTTACTTTCTCTGAAGAGATTGAGGAGTAATCAAAGGAAATGCATTTAGTTAACTTTAAATAGATCACATTAATTGATGTCCTGGCTCTGCCTACTCCTTAGAGCATAGCCTTGGCACCACCACTCGGCATCTAAGTAGGATGCTTATCTTGAAAAAACATTGCAGATTTCAGCTGCTGACTCTTTATTTTGCCCCAAACCGGTGTCTCTTTCTGTATTCCCTTAATATGCTAAGCCAAGCCATACTGTACAGTCTGATGCGTGAACTCAGCCACTGTGGATTCTAAATTATGTTTTATGGCTTAGAGTTTAGGGTAGACTAGTGTTCTGTGGTTTGTTTATCAAACTATGATTAAAACAAACCAAAGGCTAGCATGATATATGAAATCGGACACTGAAACCAAATCAAGTAGTCCTCTAATACCGGTTTTTTTGGGGGGGGGGTTCTTGCTATAATGTTTTGCTTTATAAATAGAAGCCCCCCCCATTAATCATGAATATTAATCATTAGCTATTTGAACCAAGTAAACAAACAAGAGTCCCAATGGAATGCAAGTGAGTCCAATGGGCGTCCCATTACTCAATCACTGTCCTTTATCATCCTTGTTTTTCCAGAAAAGGCTGCCAAACTCCATAGAATCCACTTTCTTTGTCCTTTCTCAGCACTATCCCCTTTCTATTTTTCTATACCTCCTTCCACTTATGCTTGGTATCTTGGCTAGAAAGTAGCCTGTTCGGAGACGATAATCTACAAGTTTATTTATTTTATTTTTATTTTATTTATCAAACTTATTCCCGCCCATCTCCCCACAATGGGGGACTCTGGGTGGCTTACAACAGATTAAAACAATAAATAAATATCTAGTTAAAATTTATAAAAACACATTTGCACAGAATAAAGGAAGAGGAA